ATCACCGGGAAGGATGGTGACAACCATTATGCTTATATTTCGAATTTTTCGCGCCTAGCCAGCCCGCAAAAAAATAATCACCAACATCGATTGTTTTACTGCAAACGGTGCTTCGCCAGTTTTGAGGATCGTCCATTACAATATAAATTACACGGCGAACGGGCGTTGGCTAAGCATCGATTGTTATGCGGTGAGCACAAACCCGTATTGCCTCTAATGCCTAAAGAAGGGGACACGCTCAAATTCGAGGCGTGGCGTAAGACTGAACGTCTACCGTTCGTGGTATATGCTGACTTTGAAGCCCTACTACTGAAAACGGACCGGAGACAAGGCGCGAATACCACTGCGATACACACACACCACCCCATGAGTTACGGCTACCTGGTCATCGCAGCGGAGGGGGTGCCGACAGACTTGTTCGACCAGTACGATATACCGCGGGCTCCGGTCATTTTCCGTGGTTCGGCGACCGATGACGATGTGGCCGAGCGTTTTGTCAGCGACGTGCTCGGCGTGGCCGAAAAGATAGCCAGATTATACAAGGAAGTAATTGTACCGATTATTATGAGTGTTGAGGATAGTCGCGTGCACGGCGTCAAGATAATGTGCGACTTGTGCGGCTGTGCGTTTAGTGAGCGCAACTGTAAAACAGCACACCACGACCACTTGTCGGGACGTTTTCTAAAAACGTTGTGCAACACGTGCAACCTCAAATTAAAAACACCTAATTTCGTACCATGCTTCCTACATAATCTGTCCAACTATGACGCGCATTTTATCGTGACGAATTTGGCGAACGGGGGTGACACTAACAGAATTTCGGTAATAGCGAACACCGAGGAGAAATATATCTCATTCTCGAGGTATATTAACAACTCGTTCTCCGTCAGGTTCATAGACACGTGCCGGTTCATGGCGTCGAGCTTGGCACACTTGGCGGAGAACCTCACCACCGCAAATTTCGACAAGTTTCGCGAAGTCGCGAAAGTGTTCGCCCCTTCGGAGATGGAGTTGGTCACGCGGAAAGGCGTATACCCGTATGAATATACAGACTCGTGGGATAAATTGGACGCTACGTCGCTGCCGGATAAGTTCCAATTCTACAGCGCGTTGACGGAGACGCACGTGAGCGACGAGGATTATAGTCACGCGACCAGAGTCTGGAATCATTTCGCCTGCACCTCACTCGGCGCTTATAGCGATTTATACCTTAAAGTCGACGTGGTGTTAAGCGCCGACGTGTTCGAGAATTTCAGGGATATATGTATGGCCACATATCACCTGGACCCCGCGCATTACTACACGTCGCCCGGATTCAGTTTTGACTGCATGCTAAAGTTTACAAAAGTTCAACTTGAACTTTTAACTGATTTCGAGAAAGTTCTGTTTACTGAGGCAGGGACGCGCGGGGGTCTGGTGCAGGCTAGTAGGCGTCACGCTCGTGCCAACAATCCCGCGACGCCGGGATACAATGCCGACGAACCTAGCACGTCTCTCATATACTTGGATGGTGATTATATTATAATATAAATTATATATGTGTGTATATTAATCCGTTTTTTTTCCATAATAATTTAGCAAACAATTTGTACGGGTACGCGATGTGCAAGTATATGCCTATTAGCGATTTCACATGGTACCCAGGGAATCCGGAAGTCGCGCTGGCCCAGCTGGAGTGGATGGGCGAGACGGACGACGTGGGTAGAATTTATGAAGTAGACATCTCGTATCCTCAACACCTGCACGACGCCCACAACGATATGCCGTTCTTGCCCCACGCCAGCATACCACACGGGTCCTCAGTGCGAAAGTTGATGGTCACTTTTTTGAGGAAAGAACGTTATGTAGTTCATTATATGAATTTGAAACAGGCCATGGCCCACGGTGTGGTGGTCGAAAAGTGATTATTAATATTATTATTATTATTATTATTATTATTTGTATACGAATCGCATCTTATAACTTTTTCGTACGCATTACAGACACATAGAGTGTGGAGTTTCCGCCAATCCCCGTGGTTAGCGCCATACATCAATTTTAACACCGAATTACGCAGACAGGCGGTGAACAAATTTGAAGAACAATTTTTTAAAGATTTGAATAATTCAGTGTTCGGTACGTTTTCTTAAAAATTTATTTCACAATTTAACCATTTACTTATAATTTTTATTTTTCCGAGCTTTAAACGGTACAAGCTTTACATCGTGATTATTGTATGTCTGCAGGGAAATCGATTGAAAATATGCGGGCCAGATTCAACTTGGAACTCGTATCTTGCCCCGCCAGGATGCGAAAGCTGATAAACCGTCCCACATTCAAGTACTGCACGACGTACAACGAAAATCTATCGGCGGTCACGCAGCACAGTAAAGAAGTGGATTTCTGTAAGCCGATATATATAGGATTTACCGTACTGGAACTCAGCAAAGTTCTAATGTACGGATTTCACTATGACGTTATGAAGAGACATTACGGAGATAAGATCGAATTACTTTACACAGATACCGGTACGTCTATATCGAACTAATGCAGTCTAACGCAGTTTTTATTTTATATTATTATTATTAAATGTTTCAGATTCACTATTCTACCGCGTGGTGACAGACGATTTTTACGCCGACTTGATAGACAACCCAAATCTGATGCGGTTCATGGATACTTCCAATTTGCCGAAAGACCACAAATGTTATTCAACTTTGAGGAAACGGGTGCCGGGTCTTTTTAAAAACGAAACCAATTCCCGTACAGTCTACGAGTATGTCGCGTTACGAGCGAAATCGTATGCATACGACGTGGAACAGGAGGTCACAATTCGCTCGAAGGGTGTCATGAGGCACGTTATTAGAAATCACCTCACATTCGCCGAGCATAAGAGGTGTTTGTTTGCCGACGTGGACGACGATGCGGAATCCGACGAGTGCGACGACGAATTCGACGCAAATATGGGGAAAATGTTCGCTGCCGATTCCGCACTTAAAGCTGTCGCTCAAATTCATCGGAACGCCTCAACCGGCTCAACCAACTCGTCGACGACGGTTGCGGCGGCGGCGGTCACGCATCCATCCCACGTCTACAGCTACATGCCATTCACGCCGTATAGGGAAAATGTGTCTATACGCTCGTTTAAGCACGAGTTACGCACAATTAGATCTATGAAACTCGTCTTGAACAGGGCAGACGACAAGCGTTACGTGTTGCCGGACAACATTTCGACGTACGCGCACGGTCATCACCGCATAAATTATTAAATTGTTATTATTATTATTATTGTTATTGTTATTATTGTTCAACGATCTCATATCTGTATATATATATATATATATTTATAATCTATTAAAATATCTGTATAAATTGTATAATCGTGAAATGTGACTGCTGCATACATATATAACCTGATAAAATATATGTATATGTATAATGTATAATCGTGAAATACAACCGTTGTATATAAAAATATGAGAGTGTACGATGCTAAAATATTATATTAACTACGTTTTGTATTTAATCTCGTGTTTTTAAATTATTATTTTAGTATCGCAACCTAATCTTCTCATCCTTATCATATTTTACCTCATCTTTATAATCTTCTTATCCTTATCTAATCTAAAACTCACCCTTATCTTACCGAGGTCTCGACAACATTATTATTATTATTATTATTTTTAAAAAACCCCCGCTCATTCGCGCTGTGATAAGAAGCGGGGCGAGGATATTTGATATGCCTACATACGGTGTTCTGATGGCTAGCACTTCTCCGTCAGTCAGTCAGTCAGTCTTTGGAGTTAAACATTTACTCGCGTGTAATAACGATATATTAATATGTCGTCAGAGGAGTGCTCGTTTTTCGATTATGGGCTCAAGTCTCGATGCGCGGTAAGTTTTATAATTTTATACCACTCTACTTAAATTAAAATTTATTTTATTTCATTTTTAGTCACCTGATTTATTCGCGGAATCGCACGATCTGCGCAATTACACGTTACGAGTAGTCGAACGCATAGTCGAGCCACCAGTAGATTTGGGATTCAACCCCGGCCAACGTTTCTCGTGGAAAACGACCGATTTGAGTCAGTCGTTGCTACAAGACGCTCAACAGTTTACGTGGGAGACGCCGGACTCTAATTATTCACTGGCGGTACTCGATCTTTTGTCCGGACGATTTCCCGATGAAGTGGAAGTATTAAGTGAGTCTTGATATATATATATATATATATTATAATATATATATATATATATATATATATATATATATATATATTATATAATATATAAATAAAATGACTATAGAAAAAAATAAAAAACTCATATTTTCAGATGATATACAATCCGGGCAAACGACTGACTACGTGTGGGATAGCAGTGACCCTAAAGATAATTGTGCTGAACACTGGAAAAAACGTTTGATTTCAAAATTTAATGATGAAATGTAATATAAATAATTGTGTAAAATAAAATATTATTTAGAACATTGAAGTCTAGTTTTTTTTTTTTTTCAAATCTAAATAGTAGATTTTTACCGTAGAATACAAATTATTATTATTATTATGTCGTAAAGACATCAAGTATATTATTATTTAGAATATTAAAGTCTAGTTTTTTTTTTTTTTTTCCAAATCTAGATAATAGATTTTCACCGTAGAATACCAATTATTATTATAATATGCCAAGACATCGATTACTCCATATAATTATTATTTTATGTAAATATTATACGACTCATTAAATGCGTATCGATATTGACATATTGTAATTAAATAATACAAACCTTATAAATATTTTTTTTTTTTTTTTAAAAAACCATCTCATCTTGGCGAGAATAATTACACAACTTGTGAAATGTATATAATTATATTATACGACCCTTAAAATTATAGGATATAGATAAAATGAGAATAACAACATATTTGTAATTATTTTTATTGCAAATAATAAAAATAATAATAATAATAATAATGATGAGCATAATAATATATATATATTGAAGAGCTCTATTAAATAATTCATTCAAAATCTATAATGAAGCTCCTCTTATTTAATCCTCGATATATGAGACTTACCCCGGGGACACTACCAAGATTATATTCAGAAATTTCCTCGTCCGTCATTTTGATGGCTTTAGGCAAGAAAATATTTATTGTCTGAGTGTTTGCAACATCTATTAAAACGCATGACACAGAGGTGCCAAACTTGGTGTCCACATTTTTCATAGTGCGGACCGGGTACGAGACGTCCTTGGCTAGTTCACTGATTGAAAGGTTTACACTGTTTAGCTGGCTCTTCAGGGACTGGAGGAATGCCATTATAGTACGCTGGGGACAGTAAAAAAAAAAAAAATAAATAAATAAATAAAAATTAAATTAACTAAACGCAAGTGTACGCAATGCGCGAATAGATATTTTTATTATTATTTTATTAGAGTAAAAATCGACTCACTTTAAGTTGTCGAGATAAATTCTGCGAAGATTTTGAAGGTGACACGTGGTCTGCGGGTGAACCACGGAGACAAGTTGAACTAAAACAAAAATATTGTCTATTAATATTGAATAAAAATTGAGTTTGTCACAATTGTATAATTTTTTTAATTAATTAAATTAACTCACTTTTATTTTTAGTAGATCCTGTAGTTGGGGATGGTTTGACGTAATTGAATATTGTGTTGAATGATGTGAATGAGTTGAATGTGATGAATGAATTCAGAACTGAAAAATATAATTCCTGTTAATTTTGTATAATACATAAACGAATGATATTTTAAAAACTATAGACATTAGGCTCGAAGTAATAAGACTGCATATAATAATAATTATTATTATTATTAAGTAAAACTCACTTTATTAGAACAGATATGTTGTAAGATTTAGAACTTGTTGATAGACGATATTAGGCGAAGAGGTCTGGTTTGCGATGGTGAAAATATGCGACTGATTTGATATTCAGTGGACAGCGGACAAGTGTCCATCGCCATCGATGGCCACCCCCACCTATACCGTTCGGCGTGCGCAATATTGTACCGATTGATATACACACATGTGTAAATTAGAGTGAAAAAGGTCGGTCCTAGAGCGGATCCTGCGCGTTGTATACCGGAATGTGTCGTCTTGACCACGTGCATCCGTCCGTCCGTCGGATCGCCCGACCTTCACAGTCTTGACCATGTGTGTCCGCCGGGACGCCGACGCAGGCTGACAGACCCCGTCTATGCCTGTCGCCAGATGTGGCTATTTGAGTGGACTAAACTCGATATTCGTGCCCATAATATAAGGGTGAAATATAATTCCGTGTATATTATATTATTCTACAAATTATTTTTAAAAGAATTTTTAAGGAATGCGGAGTTGGCCGTGAGACCGTGCGAACGTAGAACCCAGATGTCAATTATATATATATATATACATATACATAAATACATACACACACATATATATTTGTGTAATAAAACGCAGCACACGATTATATAATATAATATACATTTATTCCATAAATAATATGTACAGAAATTAAATTAAATTATATATTATATAGCATATTATTTCACGTATTTTTTTTAAACCATTTCAACAATTTGAAAGCTCGGTTATATGTACACTGTGTATAATTTAAATTCTTATGGTGTAAACAACACGGCTCGTGTTGTTTATTTCCGGCAAAACCGTTCTCGTGTAGTTGATCTAGTCGCGGACAGTCCAAATCTACACCCATCTCGTAAATTTTGACATTGGGAAGGAATCCTTCTATGATCTGTCGCTTTTCCTCGCCTTTCACGTAAATGCATTCGAAATGTAATGAATTCAAAATCCGCGGGATTTCTGTATATTGGACATCACCACAATCCCATGATAGTTGGTGATAGTTGCGAAACAACCACATATTGACGGCTTCGATTTTCGCTGTATTGGGTGTCCGCGAGTGTTTAAAAATCCAGTGTTGACTAGCCAGCCCCTCTAAGTCCACTACCGACATTTCTTTTATCATGTATTTCGAGTTCGGGCCTAGCACACACTGGATATCTAGAATAGCTGACGACATAATTCGCGCGATTGCTATTACTATATTATAATATATAGATAATTATATATTAAAACGTCTTGCTGGCACTGAGCTTCGATGAATACTGATATCCATCGATTCTATCCTCGAGTATAACTATCCTGGAGTATGCGTTAGCCAAGTTAGTTTTCAAATCTTTGTTATTTTTATTAACAATCTCTATGGACTCGATTAAAGATTCAATTTTATTATTGGTGTCCGAAAAATATTTATCGACCGTCGGTACGAGCGTCGATTCTATTCGCATTATTTTCATTTCAATCACTCGAGCCCCGTCACCAAGCGTCGAGATTTTTTTCTCATTCGCCTCGGATATATTACTATGTGTAGCTAGTTCCTTTGTAAACTTTTCACCAAATGTAGTAATTTTCGCGTCATTTATCTCGATTAAATCGACGTGTAACGCTAGCTCTTTTTCATATTTTTCACCCATATCCGCGATGACTTTATTCAGCCGGCTGGCCGGTGAACCTCCAAACGCGTCCATCTCCCCGTGGTAACTGTGATCATATTTTAAGATCGGACTTATTTATCCAACTATTATGCTCGTCCGTAAAACCTAGCCAGCGAACGAATACACGCGGGCCTTTGGTGCGAATTACTTTTTCCACCAGATAATCGTCGGGCCACAATGTTTTGCGTATTTCTTCAGCGTAAAACCCACCGGCGATCGGGCTCCCCGTATAATCTTGGAGGATAAACGTACTAGGCGAAGTCTTATTCACTTTAATAATAGTAAATATTTCCGTAGACCAATTGGGTAAATATCCTTTGGTGAAAACGCCCTTGTACACGCTAATGCGGACTTTGTCTCCAACGCATAATTTTGTTTTCACGGTTTTTTCAACATCGTAATTTAATTTTACAAGCGTCGGGTGTGCATCTGCCTGCATCGGAGTCATCCCGATAGTTCTGTGTGTCGAATTATTATAGCCATCGATTACAGAGGGTAAAATCCTGAACCACTCGTGTGAACCTCTGCTAGTGAATTCTTTAAACATTCGCCCCTTAATCGTGCGAATAACCCTTTCTACTATAGTAGCTTTGAGCACACTGAAAGTACTATACATTTTTATATCGTGCTTTTTTATTAAATCTTTAAAATTTTTATTGTAGAATTCTGTCCCCTGGTCCACGTGTAACAGGTTAGGACTATTCTGTGCGAAGATTTTACTAGCGGCAGCCGCGACTTCTTCGCCTTTTTTAGTCTTCAAGGCCGTAGCCCACACCCGTTTAGTAAAACAGTCAATAATTATCAGGATAAATCTATATGATTTATTCACAGCGGAGTATTGTTGCATGTCAGCAAGATCTGCTTGGAATAAATCGTTTTTACCGTGAACGACGACATGACGTCGCGGATAGTTTCTTCGGGCCGGCGCGTGAAGTTCCGCGGCGATATCACGTTTAGACATTGGGTATTTTTTTCAATATTCGCGCTTCGACCAGTTCTTCACAAATCGATATTATTTCGTTACGAACCCCCGTGTTACCCGCTGCGAGCGACGAATACAATAGACGTAGTCTATCGACCAACTCGTTAGGTTTATTCCAATATATTATATTGTGTTTTTGCAATCGCATATTAATTCCCGCGCCAGTAATAATATTATTTTCTCCAGAAAACAAATTTGAAATTATTTCATATTTTAACCCTTTAGATTTACGAACACGTTCACCGTTTGACGTTCTATGCCCCGATGTCTGAATTAAGATCTGTTTATATGTACTTAAATCTGCTTGCGTATATTTTCTAGACTCTGGGGTCTTCAGGAATAATAAATCAATAAGACCGCCCGTCACTGGGTGTGTACGAGTGTCACCTCCTATGTGTATCACGTTATCGATAAACTGTATTTTTTTATTACCCAATTCGAATATGTTGTTTATTAATTGTTTAGGTCCGTATATTCTGTCCAACCACGATTTGGTCCAAGGTCCAAAACGTGCATTCAAATCTTTATAAGATGTAGGTGCGGGCTGAATGGGCGGGAAACGGTTCACAGCATAACCCACATCTGGTACCGTCGACGCCCTCGACGACAGGGCTGGCGGTGGTGGCGGGGACGTCTGCACAGGCGACCTTTTGATATTCGATTTTATCTCGCTCAGCGGGCCGATAATCGAACTAAATGTGTTATTAATTAACGAGTCCGTTTCAAATCTACCCGTTTTTAACGCATTATATTTCTGTTTTATATTCGTCCTCGCTTGAATTATATCTGTCAATATCGTAGGCGTTGATACTGACGAGTTGTTCACCTTATCCATGATCTCGAGTTAATGTAGCTAATTCCTGTGTGACGCCTTATTATATAACGACGTACTTATCGAAACCGTGTCTATACCGCCCATTATCACGTTCATTTTCGCTACTGATAACAACGAATTCGAATCTGCCTCCCCGCCAGCATGACATGCAAAAATCTTTAAACTCCGAGTATTTGATGTCTCCAGAACAATGCTCGTCGTATACATGCTTTAAATTCATTTCGTCTTGCTTGAAAAGTACAATAAAATTTGCGTTATCGCGTATTAGCTGTTTCGGTACCCGCGAATACGATTGCGCTAAATAACACACATCTATTAGATTGTGTCTAGATCTGGCGAAGTATGATCTGATGATACCGTGGTTTTCCGTTATTACATCGTCGAACAGGAAAACACAGTTAGGTAGTGCTTTTTCCGGTTGAATCACCGTTTCGTTGTCTCTGAATTTAAATAATTTAACGCCTGGAACACCGCTCAAGATCTCTCCGAGCATTACATATTTAGCTTGATCTAGCGTTTTTGAGTAAATATATACATTTTCAAATTTAATTCCGTTCTCGTGAACCAATAGCGTGAAAATAAGATTTGTTTTACCGCACCCGGACGGGCCTACGATCAGCGCACGTATCGTGTTCGGAAACAGCGGGCCATGTCTCGGCGGGCGCGCCGCAGCCCCGTTATTACATAACGATAGCGGGTCGATATTGTCGACTTTGAGCTTTATCACTTGGTCTACGAACCGCATTGTATAAATACACTTGACGTTCGAGCGAGGTGCTCATATAATGTTGCCGCGTTCGAAGGTCAAGACCAATAGTGGTGCAGGTCTGCTGAACACCGTAATAAATAGTCTGCCGATCGAACTTCATATCCCCGGCTATCAATATTGTGGTCCTGGGACAAATTTAAAAAAAAGACTCGCTCTTGGTCAGCCAGGAATAAACGGATTGGATTCGGCGTGCCGAGAACACGATATAGCTTACGATAAAAGTAATTCTTCGTCCGTACGCGGCGCGGCTGACAGAATTTTGGAAGAAAGTGCTTGGAGCAGAGTGGAAGCGAACGACGCTGATTATAAAGAAAAAGCTGCCGCGTGGCTCGTAACTACGGGGATGAAGGCTAAACGGAAAATCGGTGCCGGATGTGGGTTTGCTAATATTGTCGGTGTGTGCAAAAAAGCGTTAAAAAAATCGATAAAATCGTGTGTCGGGACACCGAATATGAGCAGCTTAATTAAATCGACTGTCCGCGTCGCGCGGAAACATGTAAAGTCTGCGGGCGTCCGATCGAAAAAAAAAAAGAATAAACCTCCACGTATCATCAGAGTTCCAAAAACAGGAGGTTCATTAACTTTAATCCCGGTATTGGCGGGACTTTCAGCGCTCGGAACGCTGGCCGGAGGTGTTGCCAACATCGTTAGAACGATTCGTGGCATTAGATCGAAGGCCGGCTCACCCGTGCATTTAGGAAAAGGCGTGTATCTAAGTCCGTATAAAAGCGCGGGCTCGTATACTATCGCGCGGAAATCTAACGCTGTTGCTTCGCGGAAATGTGTCGGCAGCGGGTCTGGGAAAAAAATTATCAAGAAACGTAAGAAACCGACCGCGGGTATAAGAAAAAAAAAAAAGAAAATGCGAAAAATTAAATCTAATAAAAAGTCGTCGACGTCAAAAAACTAAGTCTACCCAATCGAGCCCTTTACGATTTCGAAATTAGTGAATACGCTAAACTCTCGAAAATACCTCATTTCAGAGGCGTATATTGTGTTGACAAGTTGCCCGCCGCACCTAGACGTGAAGAAGCTGCGGTTGTCAATCTAGACTTTGAAAAAAATAAGGGAACGCATTGGGTGTGCTATAAAAAAATCGGGAAATTTGTTTTATATTTCGATAGCTTTGGTAACCTCCGCCCACCATTAGAGTTGGAAAAATATTTTAAGGGCTGTGATATTGAATATAACTACGTGAGGGAACAAGCGTTCAATACTTTCAACTGTGGACATTTATGTTTGAAATTTTTAACCGCGAAGCGAAAATAATTATATTATTATTAAAATAAATAAATATTTATTATTATTAACATTTCCACCGTTGCAACATGTCGTCGTCTCAGACAGTTTCGCTGAGCGGACAGAGTTCCGAATTGGAATGTAATTTTTTCCCGCCCTTAGAAGTGGGGAGTAAATCAGAAATCGGGCTTCTGAGTATACAAACATATAATTCCATACCCAACGTTGGGGCTGGATGTGATACTCTGCATATTATTAACGGTAGCCAGCGAGTGACCACTAAGATTAAAATACCGACCGGTTGTTACGAAATAATTGCTTTGGAAGCTAAAATACGTGAACTTTTAAAAGACATTGGTGTACGTTTTTTCAGTCTGTCGACCGATAACAGTACGCTTAAATGCACACTGCATTGTAATAGTGAAATCGACTTAAACGTCGACGGCAGCATTGCACCGTTATTGGGCTTCGATAGACGAATTTTGGAGTGCGATCGTAGACATGAATCCGATCGTGTGGTGAAAATTATGAATGTCAACACGATAAAAGTCGAATGCAACTTGGCTTTGGGCTCATTCGACAACGGTCGGCAATCGCACACGATACACGAATTTTAACCGGTCGTCCCGCCTGGTTATAAAATAGTCGAAATACCGAAGTATTGCGTGCTTTATAAACTGAAAACAAATACGATTGATTACGTGCGAGTGTCGTTGACTGACCAAAACGGAAAATCAATTGATTTTCGCGGTGAAACTGTGAACGTTCGGCTCCTTATAAAAAATGGGTTTGAAGTTTAATGTCGATAAATACGCGGTCGTCAATAGCGGCTCCCGCATTAAAGCTGCGGCTGTCGTCAGACACACACCACAGTACACCGAGGTCGTTGTTCGTAAAAAAGTTAATAATATCAAAAAAAATAAAAATTTGACATTAGTTAATCGTAAATTTTTACGCTTAATTGCCGGCAAGTAAATATAATATATTAATATTACGCACACACTATGGACAAATCTTTCTTGGACGTTGGCGGGGCGTATGTCAGCGAATCTCCGATACGCGAAATGTTTTTACATTCTTTTTTACCGTTTTCCTCGTCCGCGCTAAACAATGGCGATGAAATTCGGATATCCATTCAGAATCGCGATGCACACACACTGCCGAGCGATAGTTTTATCTATATAGAGGGCAAAATAACAAGGCCTGAAGGACTTAAAACTCAGATAACTATCGCACATAACGGTTTGACTAATTTGTTTACCGAGATGAAATACGAAATAAACTCTACAGAAGTACAGCGGGTTAAGAAACCGGGGATTACCAGTGCCATGAAGGGGTATTGCTCGTATTCGCCCGCCGATGAGAATATCTTGCAAAACGCTGCATGGGATATCACTAACAAAAATGTTAATTTCATGAAAGACGATACGTTCAGCGGGTGTATCCCGTTAAAACACGTTTTTGGTTTCTGCGAGGACTACAGGCGAATACTGATAAATTGCAGTCAACAACTGATATTGAACAGATCGATGTCGGATGCGAGCGCGTTACATTACACCAGCGTGACAGGCGGCGACATGGCTACCGAGTCGGTTAAGACTATGGTGGCTAAAGTCAAAGTTGAGCTAACGCGAGTGTTGTGGAAAGTACCAGTGATCAAAGTCGACGATCGGGAGAGGTTGAAGCTGATGAAAATCATTGATAGCAAAAAAATGATAAATTGTGCTTTTCGAAATTGGGAACTTTGCGTTTATCCGAATCTACCACAAACGAGCAAACACTCTTGGATGGTTAAAACTTGTTCGCAGGTTGAAAAGCCTAGGTGCCTAATAATCGCTTTTCTCACCAATACGCCGGGTAGCGTGTCGGACGGTTATAGCGGCGATTACGATGCATGTTCGTTGACAAACGTTAAAGCATATATTAATTCGGTCGAATACCCGTACGAGGATTTCAACGAGAGTTTCGACAAAAACCTGTTTACGATGTTCTATCAAAATTATATCGATTTCCAAAAACATTACGAGAGGGATAACTCCCATCCGTGCCTGTCGAGAGAAAAATATAAAGAGTTGGGACCATTTATCTGCATAGATTGTTCGCGACAAAGCGACGATGCGAAAATTTCTAACGTGGATCTCCGTCTTGAAATAGAAGCATCCAATAACTTTCCCGCTAACACGGCTGCCTACTGTCTGGTGATTCACGATCGCGTGATTCAATACAACCCGTTTACCGGTGAAGTTAGAAAACTATAATAGTATGACATATAATATCTGCTTGAAATTCATCCAACCCTTGTACGGTATATCTGTGTATGCATTTTATCATAGGATGAATACGACGCTTATATATTATATAAAATAATACATATTATAATATAGATGTAATTATGTTTTTGTAATAAATGAAATAATAAAAAAATACGTGTCTTTTTTTACTAAAATGTAATATAATGAATATTATAATATTTGATGATATATATATGTATGGTACGACACAAGTACAAATCGAATTTAACAATAATAATAATGGTATGTGTAACACAATTTGGGTGTGACGAGAATCTCTGATCTCGCACACATATGGCACATTTATATATATATATACATATTATAACACTATATACATGTGTTTCGCCTTAATATTATTATCCTTGGTCAGCGGCCGGAATATCGAGGTCGAGCATGTGGTTGTCATTAACAGCAGCAACGACAATCTTAGTGTGTATACATTTCAGGCCCCTCGTTCTCATGGAATCCAAAAATCTGTGAAAAATTATATATATATATATATTAGGTTTACTTATAAATGTATAATATTATAAGATGTAATATTATATCTATAATACTGTATAATAATAATCACCTCTTCGATGTCTGCACCGACACCGCCATTACTCGGCGCGTAATCCATACCGTTATTTTGAATATTGCCCGCCCAACACAATACCAACTGTTTGTTGGCCGTCAATTTTATCTGGTTCATGAAACTGTTCTCACTATTTGGAAATATATTCATCGTGTGGAGATTATTATGTATATTGCTGGTGGCTGTAGTAATTTCTTCAACGGTAGATGATTTATCGACGTAGACATTATTGCTCAAATGTGTAGCTATCTGGTCTAGTTGCACCATAACCGTGCAGCGCGTGATGTTGGATTTTCGAGAGATAGATTCGCTGACGGCCCATTGTATCTCGTGTATTCTTAATAGATCGCGCTCGCTCAACAGCACACGGCATCCTTGTTGTAGGCGTGATTCGACGACGAGCATACTTTCGCCGCGATATGTAGTTCTGGAAAGCGTGTTATTCTCGTCTTTGAGAAAAAGTCTCTCGCGACTTTTAACCGGTGGATTGGTTATATTCGGTAGTATGTATGGTAGTAGTGAGAAAATTCTATGTAAGAATACACTTGTTATGCAAACATGTCTCGACGGCGTTATAATCTGCACGCACACGTTGAAAACGTCCGAGGCGTCAAGTCCAATATTGATGGATTTGCGGCCCGAAAAGTCAATGACAAAGCTCGAGCAGTCGATTAAATCGTTGGGCGGGTGCACGGTCGACGAACGTCGTATATTTTCTCCATCACGTTCACTGCAAGCCTCCGAGACGATTTTTTGAAGTTTTCCCGTCATATTTTCACCGTCAGAATTAAACGCACTAGTTTCACGTTAAGCGGTTGTAGTGTTACTGGTTTGCGTTAAATAATTAACTTGGCGGGCGCGAAATCCGCGCAATCAATTATTTAAACTTAATCTATTCGTGGTGTACACCAAAAGTGGTGGGGGTAACGTTTTAACATGGTAATATCGAAATATAATATGATAAAATTCGAAAAACCGCGTCCGTCCGATTAACGGATAGATGGCGGCACCGTCGGTGATAATGTGGTACGCTCCGTGAGCGCGGCGTCCACGCTGGGCGGGGTGGTGGTGGTGGTGTCGCACGACGTCTCGATGGGAGGTGGCAAGGCAGTGATGTCGTCTGGAAGCGCGGTATCGGCTAGGGGTGAGGCGGGGGGTTAGTGGCCAACGTTTCCGATACACGTGCGGGGTGGGGAGGGGGTGGTGCAGTTTGGCGTCTAGAAGTGCGGTATCGGTTGAGGGTGAGGCGGGGGGTTAGTGGCCAACGTTTCCGATACACGTGCGGGGTGGGAGAGGGTGGTGCAGTTTGGCGTCTGGAAGCGCGGTATCGGTTGGGGGTGAGGCGGGGGGTTAGTGGCCAACGTTTCCGATACACGTGCGGGGTGGGGAGGGGGTGGTGCAGACTGGTGCTGTTTGGGTAGGCGGGCGGTGCGGGGGTGGTGCAGACTGGTGCAGTATAGGTGGGGGTAAAGGGTGGTCAGATACGTACGCGATCATAGGATTGGGTGGTGCATGGTGGGTGGGGGGTGGAGGGGGTGGTGCAGACTGGTGCTGTTTGGGTGAGCGGGTGGTGCGGGGGGTTAGTGGCCAACGTTTCCGATACACGTGCGGGGTGGGGAGGGGGTGGTGCAGACTGGTGCTGTTTGGGTGGGCGGGCGGTGCGGGGGTGGTGCAGACTGGTGCTGTTTGGGTGGGCGGGTGGTGCGGGGGTGGTGCAGACTGGTGCAGTATAGGCGGGGGGGTGGTGAAGCGGGGGGGACCCAGAACCGGCCTTTCTATACTACTTGTACTATTATATATCTATGATAGTATCACGGTTTTTGTTGATGTATAACGCGTTATAAGTATCTAATGGATATTGTGATATGATTAATTTGGAATTTATTATAGGTACCTATTATAGGTCAATTTTTTGTTTAATACCATAAATATGTATATAATATGTCTGATACATAGACTGACATATCGTCACCGCTCAGAATCGTTTTTCTTATACAATGATATTATATCATTGAATTCAAATTTAATACCATCCATTATACAGTGACCCACTTGTAACCTACTGTACAGCAGAGCGACACCCACTTGCCAACCTTTTTTATTATTGATATAGTTTTGTTTTTCTTCTTTTTTTTTACTTCTTTTTGAGGTCTATTGAAATATGATGTTTTTATCTTTATATAATACTCGCTGAATTATACGGCATTGCCCGGGAAAAGAATTATGATTGTTCATCTCCTTTTGGGTGTAACACGCTGTGAAAAAAATGTCTTTTTAAGTTTAAATGATGTTATAGTTGTCCATAAGATTTGCAGCAGTATATTATCAGGACAGAAATCCATTTTTTTTTGATACAAAACTCTTTAAAGAAAATATACTAAACTGTACTTTAACAACCGTACTGCAAAATGTCTTTATTATATTTTATTTTGGTTTTTTGTTTATTTAAATGGTTGCCTCTGATTACTAAATAATTGATTATTATTATTATTATTATTATTTTTAGTTTATTAATTGCTGGACAGATGGCGCCACTGTAATTTTTAAGATAATTGATAACTCCTTTGTTTTTAAAGTTAGAGAATCGATCAAATGCCATAAACCTTCTCCGCAAAGAGCTCTTCAATTTCAAAAAAAAATCATAACGATCGGTTCAGTAGTTTCGAATGGTGCATATAACTTTCCAGAAAAAAAACAGCCAGAATATAAATTGAGAGAGTGTTTAAATACAGAAAATAAAAATACA